TGCTTCTGCAAATACAGATTTGGCAGTTGAAGAGGTCATTCAGCAGTGGCAGGTTCAGTTCAGTGGCAGGTTTCGTTACTTTTGTATTTTATTCAGACTCTTACCTGTTGTCATGGGTAGTGTAAACAACAGAGTTCATCACCCCAAGCACATTAACGTAATTTTTTACGCTGTCACTCCTATAGCGTCTGAATTTCATTGTCTAAACTGAGGCATTGTCCTGGTGCCATCTGTGGCTCATGCGGCCATTTGCACAACTGTTTTTTCTTTCTTCCTCTTTGCTGTCGCTTGGGATCGCAGTTACGCGGCCTAAGCTATCTAGTCCTTTTCATGATGTTACTGGTTGGTGGAGTTTGGGTGGTCTGATTGTCAGCCTGTCATCATTGCCTAGCTCAATGGCAGTGTAGCTGCTGGCTGGTGAAACTGTCACCCAACAACAGCAGCTGTGCAAGCAAACAAGTCAGAATTGACGTTAATCAATAGATTTGTGTAGTTGTGGCATTAAAATATACCAGAACATGTGTGATCTGTCTGCTTCTTTGTCTCATGGTATTGCCCGATCAGCTGCTCTGCGCGAGTGCGGATGTGCTTGTCATGCAGTCTGCCTTCACCTCCTTCAGCCCACTTTGCTCTTCCTCTCTCTTTGTGCACTGCCTGCCTGCGCTCTGGCACATCTGCTGCATGTCCCATCTGTTCTTGATGAGTGGCGCGCACAGTTCTGACAAGCGATATTCAAGTAGTGCACTGTTCTTCTGGAGATGACAGAAAACAATAATTTGTATTATTAATGGCGTGTCATTAATGTTCCCTGCTTCTAATAAGCCAAACAAAGCAAATAATGCAGAACAGTGGCTTGCAAACTTGCCAGTGAGTTTTTGTTTCAAAATCCTACATTCAGAAATGAATTTCTCCCGCCTCGCTTGATCTCAAGTAATCATTGCTCTTACCTTGTCCTGTGGCTTGCAAGTTTTCCAAGATTTGGTGTGTTTTTAGGGTGATGTTTTTTTCTGTTTGTTCCTCTTAATTTAAAAAAAAAAAAAGAAAGAGAGAGAGAAAAAGGTGGGGGGAAAAAAAGAAAATCCTTCTTTCCCGGAAATTTGAGTTTCCTTTCCTTCTTTGCATGAGTGGGAGCATTCTTTACATTAAGGGCACAAGTGCTTGATACAATACTTAGTTAGCATTATTCTGTGTAGTTTAGGGAAAAAAAATATTAGCACACTTAATAAAAATCTATTTGTGAAATAACAATGTATTTAAAGCCAAAATTGCTTTTGCCTTATCTATGGCCCTTAGATGGCTTATAGCCATGCAGCTAGCCATGCAGCTAAGATAACTGCAGTGTATCTTTCTGTGATTTCTAGTTACTCCTGGCAGAACGTTGCGTTTTCGTGATTCCTCTATGAGATTGCAGAAAGGTTAAGGGAGGTCTCTTTGGTTGAAGGAAGGTGAACACGCACAGCGTAGACAATGTGTAGGCAGTGGAGTTGCTTTGTTGTGTCAGTGTACTGAACGTAAATATCATCAGCTGTAGTTTTGGGTCAGAGATTTGTGCAGGTATCTGATCAGAAGTGCACTTTCTAATTAGAAGGTAGTCATCTTTGCTAGTCATAGTAAAAACAGCTTGTATAGCAATGCCGTGTTTATCATGTTTATTTTGTTGAAGGCATCTAACCCGTCTCCCTTGTTCAGTTACTGACATAGGGAAATGCAATGTCAAATCATAAAGCTCAGCAATGAGAAATAGATCTATTAGTATATTTGTCTATAATTTCAAATTAATTTTAAGCAAATGTTCAGGGTACAAAGTGTGACAAAGATGGACAATATTTTACAGGACCAGCTAAAAGGATTTCTGATATGCCTTTATACACTGCTTGCATATATATGAAAAGAGGTGATTCATTTTGGCAGTGTTCCTTCTATAGTCTTGTAATTTTTTTCCTTTAACTAAGTCCCTGCTTACTTAAAATGTCAAAAAAACCATCTAGAAACTTAAGTGAAATGAAGGAGCAAGGTCAGGGAGACTTTAAGGATGAGGAAACAGAGAACTTTTTTCGGATACCAGCGGGGGGCTGCTGTCACCAGCACGTGTTTAGGGTTCGTGATTAGGTTCTGTGGTTGTTGGAAGCTGCTGTTTCTGCTGCTTTTAAATGCAAATGAAACTCATGATTCCAGTATGCTGCACTATGTTGTGTTCAAATGGTGAATCGCTGAGGAGGAAGTCAAGGGCATAGTTGTGTCTTGCACAGATTTTACAAGGAGTGTACAGTGATTTTTTTTTCTTTTTTTTTTTTTCCTTGGGAGTATTGTATGGCTTTTGTCATTACCCCATAACTAAGCACTGTAAAGCTGGTATGCCGCCTTTGAGTTTCAGGAGGAAAAGATGATTGAGACTACTTAGGAGAATAGTATCTGTTATGCTGCAAAACATTTGTGCATTGGATCCTTAAAGTATAGTGTAGTGTCACAGCGCACATATTTGATTAGTGGTGATGAGTGGTATTAGCTCTGTGCATTAATTCTTGTCTTTAATTGTGCTTTTCAGATCATCAGATCCAAAATATATCAAGTCAGTATGTCAGTGTTTGAAAAATTGTGTCAGGAAATTGAGTAAGCAGACCAAGGAGGAGGAGATGGTTACAGCAATGTATTGTTTCTGGAAAGTGGTGTTAGACTACCAACAGTGTGTAACAGATATGTGAACTACTGCGAAGGTCTCCCATGGGTTACTGAGTTTGAGGCATCCTCTAGAAAGTTACAAATGCAGCTACAGTTGAATACTGTAGTGTAGCACTGTGGCACGCTTTATACTGTGTGTTACCATTTTTAATTTAACATATTCCTTCATTGTTTGCCAGTGTGCGTTCCCCTTTACCTTTTCCTCCCCCTCCCCCCTTTATTAATGCCTATTGCCAGTAAACTGCAGTAGCACTACAAGGATACTTCTGTATGAAAGTAATAATGTTGAGAAAACAGGATGATCAGGTGAAATAGCTAATTTAGGGATGAAGACTTTATGCATATCCTAGCAAAATGTCCTGGAGCAATTTTCTATGATTTCCTTTAATATTCAGTTCTGAAGTCGTGACACTTTAGTAAAATACTGAAGCAATAATCTACAGTTTCTCTGCAAAACATGTCCGTGGTTGGAAAAGGTTATATATAGGTCTTCACAGTAACCCAAGAATGCTTTTGTGTGAAGGGATGGATTATAGTCAACTAATGCAAATGCCATTCATATGATGCAAGCGTCTTGATTAAAATATGTAGTGAATCCTTAGCTTTTCTTTTTTGTGCCTGAAGCCAGCTATTACTGCCTAAATTCTGTAAATTGGAACAGTGAAGTTTTATTATAGGTGGCCCATAAACTAAGCACTCTTGCTGTGGATTGTGAGTGAAGATGGCAGTTGTGGAATGAAGCAATTTGCCTCCGACTGTTTAAAGGCCAGACGTAAAACGAATGGCAGGCAATATAAACGCTGCTGTTGGACATTTTTCTTCTCAGCAAATTCTTGCCGTTGACATCAGAACCACACTGTGCCTTACATGAAAGCAACCCCTCTTCATCTCTCATAAATGGCATAAATGTCACTCATTGCAGATACTGGCAGGAGCTCGTCCTTGAGGCAGAACAGAAAAATGCTGACTGGAGTTGGTGTTTGCAAAACAGTGTGAGAACTCAAAGATCCCCTGTAAAACCGATGTGGAGGTGGAGGGCAACCCTCAGCAGCAACCAGTATGTTGTCTGCACTGCCAAAGCATGAGCTCTGATACCAAAATATTGCCCAATTGCATCAGCTGTTAGCGATTTGGAAGGATCTCGGGGTCATCATTAAGACCTCTAATAAGAGCTGTAAGAGTAGTCACGTTTAAAAGGCAATGGAGAGAGTGGATGTACTACACTGGGAAGAAAGTAACTCGGACCACAGTTTCAGCGTTCACAGTAAAAGTTATAGTAGGACTGTGAATTTTCTGTGTTGTAGTTCTAACAATGTGACCCGAAAGTCAGAGATAAGAATAAGCAAATATAATTATTCTGTAGACATCTTTTTCTAGGGATCAAATGAAGCAGTCTCTCAGGTCAGCAAATTTGTCTCTGGAGGTTGTCAGTAGGCAGTAGAAAGGGCCTGATGGCAGTCTACTGTTTTTTAGGGGTGGTGGGAAGAAACGTCAGGAAAGAGCTATGAGTTTTGGGACACTAAAAGTGAATGAGGGCCATTTTTACGGATACTGTTTGCTGGTTGAAAAACAAAATATGTCCCTGTATTAGATAGAAGACCCCATATTTCTAAGTCTAAACAATATATTGCTAACGAATTTTTGATGCTTCTTTGCTATTTAATCCGCATGTGTTCAGAAGTGTTTATGCACTTAATAGTGGAAAGCAGAAAAAAAAGCGGGGAAAAAAAGGACTCCTGCTGTGTCTTTGTTATAGCAGCACAACACTGCTGCTTAGCTTACAGTGAGCACTGTGCTGATCTGCTGGTGAGCCTAGTATTACGAAATGATAAAACTGGAGGAAATGAAGTGGTACTAATAATGGAAAGCAGAATATCTAAACTGGATTCATAAAGATACACAAAACATTTCTCTGTGTTGTACATCGATGCTCTTTTTGGTGTGTTTACTGCGAGAGATTGCTAGCTGACCTGCACTATAGCCTTGTGTGGGTAAGAGGGAGCTGCTTTCTGTCCTTCTGTGGGGCTAGCGGGACAGCTGCTCTGTAGGGAGGAGTAGGTGCGAATTAAGAAAAGTCAAGTTGTCCTACTCATTTCCCAAGGAAAGGAGTTTCACAGGGAAAATTATTTGTGCTGACTCGCTCAAAGAGATTGTTCAAGTGGGGAGAAGCTTTGTCTCAGCCCTTAAATTCTGGGCCTGTATCTCCAGAAATACGATTTGTAAAGTTTGCTGATTCCACTTGGAGTACTTGTGCTAATCTATTACTTTCTTTTTTTTCCCCTCTCTCTCCTTCTCAATTTAGATGAGATACCTTTGGAGCAGCACAATTTTTCCTTTTTCTCAGTGGGCTCAAAGGTGCACCAAAGCATATCAGGCAGCAGGACACTTATGGCCGTAGCAAAAAGTACTTTGGAGTCCCAAGAAAATAATTTTCTTCAAACGGATTTATCATCAGTTACCACTCCCCTTGACATGACTTTATTTAACCCAGAAGAAATGGTCAGGATTTCGGAAAGGAGAACTAGACCGCTGGTACATACCTCCGTAACTAGCAATGAAGCTTTCCTAAGTGACGATGAATTTATTAGCTCATTTCCAAAGGCACAGTGGACTCCTCCACTAAAGTCTTTTGCAGTTTTAACGGATCATCACTCCGTTAATACAATAGAGCCCGTAAAAGAAACATTAGAAACTGTGTTGCTAACACCTTCATTATCTGTCTTTTCTTCACCATATGATATGAAAACGGTACAGCAGAAGACTCCGTTAAGTACTGTTCCAAAATTACAGCCTTTTGTACCAGATAGTGAAACTGTAAATGCAAGCAGAGACCTGCTATTGTACCCTCCAAATACAGATATTTATTTCACTTCCATTCCTTCAGAAGATGTAGTTACAGTGTGGGAAAACATAAGCAAAAGTTTAGTGTCTCTGCCTTCTGGGGCCACTGCAGAAGGGTCCTCTGTTCTTCTCAGACTGCTGACTGAAGCCAGCCATATTACACCAGATGCTACATCACAAAATATAGATCCATTTGGTGACGTTTACACCAATGTGAGTAGCAGGACAACAGAAGCTGCCAGCCGAAGGACCTATCCTGTTTCCAGCATTCCCTGGGCCACACCTGTTTCTGTAAGCAGTGCTGAGCCTGCTTTGTTTCCAATTAGTCTTCCGTTTGCATCTCTCCCGCTTCGCTCACCTGCCATTTTCACTGACTCTGATATGGTTCTTAACAGCAACTTGTTTACACACAAATTCTCCAGTACAACACCAAATCTGCCTGCCAGTTCAGAAGTACCGAGTCAATCTGAGCTTTTCAGCGAGCTCATAAGCCCAGTGCCTTTCACTAGATCGCCCACATCTTGTTTATATTGTGACTCAGTTTCACTTCTGTCGGAACCAGGCTTCTCTCCAGAGCATGACGCGGGTTCAGGTGATTATGTTGAAACTTTGTCAGTGAAAGCCTCTGAAGTAAAAGGCGTAACTCCATTTACAACTGTAATTGCTGATGTGTATGAATTAGAGGAGCCTACACCTGAAACTTTTGATACTTCTTTTCCATCAAGACCTGTTGTTTTGTTTTCTTCAAGATTTGCAGAAATCCCCGAGTCGACCATGTTGTTAAGCACTGTGGACACTGCCCTTAACAATAAAATGCCTGCGACAATTTTTCCTTCCTACAATCAACACTCTGGAGGAATGGCATTGAACATCTCTCCTTCTCAGTTTTCCTTCCCTGTTATGGAAACTATTTTGTTAACTCCGAGCATTAGTGTAGATCTTCCTGATACCACCAGTGCTCTCTTTGAATCTACCTTCAGCCCGAGCGAGGCAGTACCATCGTTTGCAATCAGCCATACAACTTTGCTGGAGTCACCAGAATTTATGCCATCAGAATCTCTATTTTTCCTTGACAAGACATCGGCAAGGGAAGAATCACCTGTAAATATTTCAAATTTTCCATCCAGTCCTTTATCACCGCCATTTCTTTTTGAACCTAGCTACTTGTCTTTGTTATCATCAGCCGTACTAACTTCTTACTCTCTCATGCCAAGTGATTTATCAACACTGTTACCTCAGACCTTGTTGACTGGGACGTCAGTACTTTCTGAGGATGTTTCCAGTTGGGACTCAGCTACCCCTGTCAGCACAGACACTGAGGCGTCTCAGTTCCCTCTCTGGCAAATGTCATACTTCTATTCAAATGCATCTTCTGTTCCAGGGGCACATGTTCCCGAAATAATGCCGTCATCAAATTTTCATTCGGACTCTTCTGCGTCTCTGGGAGCAACATCAATATGGCTGATGGATTCTGAAATTCTCTTTACCTCAGCTTTTACAGAAGCTACCTCTGCGTTAGAGTCTTCGCTCTTCTCCTTTCAGCCAGTGGTTCCTACGCCGGTGCTGTCCACTGCTGACACAGAGTCTGTTACGAGCAGCATCTTGCTCAACAAAACAAATCTGATCTCCTTGTTTACTACCTTTCCCGCAACTCCTGTCTTAAATGTATCTTCATCTCTGCTCTCAACTGTTCTAGCTCCTGATGAGGATACTGGTGCTACAATTAACCGCACGTTGCTTTTAACATCTTACACCGAGGTCAGTGCTAACACCGCACTTCCTACTGCAAATCCTGACAATCTCACCTCACAAAGCGACGTGAGCCATGTTATTTCCTCTCCTACAGTATCTGTGACCACATCATTTGTCCCTACACAGTTCCCTTCATTTTTGAACACTCCAACTGGCTATGACACTCCGCTAAGAACTAGTGTCACTGACAGTACCAACATGACGACTGCTGTCTCCACAACCGTTAGTGCCGTGGGCAGCCATGGCAAGACGACTATGGAAAGCAGCTCAGATACATTCTCCTCCACTCCTCTGGCGGCCACTACTCCACCTGAAGTTATATTTGTAACCCCTGCCATGACCACTACCAGGCCACCATATGTCTGCGACATCACAGTTCCCGATACTTACTTAGTCACCGCTGGTAAGATACTTCTAACATTTTTATTTCATTTTTCAGAAACCACTGTAATGTGATCCCTTGGTTAAATTACAGGTGTTGAATTAGCTAAGTAAACATTTCAAAGGGATATGGTGCAAATTTAGACAAACAGCTGTAAAACTGTTGATTTATCATTTACTATTGCAAATAATAGAAGTCACTTGAATAAAGTCCATTGTGATAGTGAATTACATATACCTTACACTGCACAGTGAACGAAATAGTGTTTTAAAATTGCTTTTGCATACATAACAGCAAGCCGTGTTTGAGATTGCTTTTTCGTTTGGTTTGTTGAAAATGAATGTTATTCTCACGGTCCTGTTCTGCCAAATTATTAAATTTGCTGCCTGAATAAGTTTCTCCTTAAAGCTGTTGCTGTTGTTCATTAAAAAAAAAAAAAAAAAGCCTACGTTTAAGGAAATGTTGTAATATAAAACAGGAAATTTGGTTTCAAAAAATTGTTTTTGTTTTTATTAGCATTTTTATCATTTTACCGTGCTATTTTATATTTATACTTTCCCTCCTCCCATATTTATTTGGGTTGGATTTGATGTGGTTATAACCAGAAAAGTGACTTCTGTATGTTTCAAAATCAATTGGCTCTTAGCATCTGTGTTTGCTTTTTTGATGTTTTCCTTTCTCTTTCTAGTGTGTTAATAAAACAGTACCACGAGGGGGAAAAAAAAAAAAAGGGCAGCTAATCAACACATTTTGCCCTTAAGTTCGTTCTTGTAATGGGTAAATGTAATACATAAAGCAGAATGTGAGCATACTTTCCTCCTCCAGGTAGGAGGGTAAGCTGACTGCTGATGATGAGGAAGTTTTTTTTTTTTTTTAAACTTGTAATTTGAGTAGTTTTATAGGCAAGTTACTGATTAAAAGTAAATGGAGAATGATAACATGATGTTTTTCAGTTGTTTCCTCGACCATAGTCACAATCTGAAGTGTGATTGTAGCAGACATAACATCTGTAAGGGTATGGAATTTTTTAAAGCATTTCCTTACTCAGTGGGTATCTCTTTCAGTAATCAAAATCACACTTATTTACTTTTTATTTAAGAGAAAAGTAGATGCACATTTTCTGTGGCTTTTTTCTGACCTCATCTGCATTCCACGCATTGCCTACAAAACATTAACTATGTTATGACAGCAGACTCATTGTGGTGCACAGATCAGACTGAATGTGGTATGACTTTTGGATCCTGTTGAAATGCCTCAGTGGCTCTTAAGAAAATTCTTTTACTAGAATAATAAAGAAGTTAGACTGGAAAAAGACAGAAAATAAACCTGGAGCTCCTTAAATTTTATTTAGCATCACTTTTTAGGAAGCAGTCACACCTTCCCTTGTTTCCTTGTCCGTTGTCTTATGTGTTTGACACAACTGATCTTATTGCCTGCTTTTTCATGCATTACACAATTGAAAATGCGACTTTGAGCCAAGGCCCCAGAGATGAAGCTAAAATATATTTACTGACTGGCATTAATTTCCAGTGCTGGCCCGAAGAGCTGTTCTACAAAACGTCAGTGAATCCATCAGAGAAGTGCTCAGAGTTCAGTTCAGGCGTTCAGTGGAGCTAGAGGTAAGTGGTATAAAGTGTGTGTAAGTATTCTTTGATCAATATAATACATGTGCTTTTAGTTCACAGGATAAAATGATGATTTAGAAACAACCCATGTGGCACTAAATCACAGAGAGATTTATTCAAACAAATCTATTGGGCATGTTTTCTTTTCTTTTAACGTGACTATAACATCAGTTTTTTACTTCTAGAATATAATTATTTTCTAGGGCCACCTTCTTCCTGACATAGGTGAGCAAGCAGCGCCCTGCCTCTACTCCTCACCTGCTTTATTGACTGGTGAAATGAAACTGAACTGAAAAGCTTTTGCCCTTCTGAAGTGTCTGTTAAAAGTTCTGCTGCTCCTGCTAGCTGATTATAGGCGTAGCACCTTAGACAAAACAAAACCTTCCGCACAGCCCTAAGCTATTTTGTCTTGTAAGTGAGGTCATCAGCAGGTGCAGGGGAAGTGGTGGAATCCCAAATGCAGGATTTGGCAGATGAAAAAAGAAAGGAGAAAAAAAAATCAGGTGCGCAATGGTCAGATGTTATTTTAAGCCCTTCAAATAAGCAGTACCTGGTTCTCTGTGAGGTTCCAGTTTATCTTTCTTGCTTTTTTTGAATCTACGATTTTATTTTCCGTACGAAGTTAACTCAAGTTACAGTTTGAATGTTGAACGTAACTTGAGTACCTCCATGCACATGGAGGTATGGTGGTGCCTTCAAAATTCGCTTGCTGGTCTGTGCAGGGGAATGATCTTCTGACAACTTGCGGAACAATCACTGCATGTAATAATTAAACAACTCTTGTGCTGCTCCATTGTAATGACATAGGGAGGCTGCTCTTGTTTTATAATATACCTCTGTACTACTCAGGCAGGATAAGGGTTTTATGAATTTCTGCCAAGCTTCAGGCATATTGTTTAGCCCTTTTCCCTCAAGCAGTAGAAATTCATACCTCCGACTCTGGACTGTGGTTGCTTTTAACACTAGGCAGGCTTTCTTGATGGTATCAGACTGCTACTCTTGATGTGTCTGTCTGGCTGTCTACACTTTTGCTGTACTCTGAGTGATTTCCTTCTCTCCAAAAGAGTGGATAGTTCAACTTTGGTGTTGGTATCTTTTATAAATCTTTTATATATAAATTATGTTTATATATGAGTTCTGTTTATACATTTTTGGATAAATGCTTTTTCAATGAATCAGAAGAGCAGACAAGGTAAAAAGTGAATTAGCCCTCTTTACTCACTTTAGACAAAACTAACTGAGAATCTGGAGTCCAGGATTAGTGGAAAAATAGGATTGTTATTCAACAATCTCTAGTCAATTATTGGCACTCTCCCCTGTTACTCTTATTCCTCCTCTTCTGTGCGGTGTTATTTTATGAGCTGTCACTGTAGTTTATGGTTACTTTAGTTCCCTTTATCAATACCTGCCCGTAAGCTTTTTATCTTTTCGGATAAAAAAATATTTATCTTCTGGATAGTGAATTACATCTTCAGATTGTGCAAATTGACATAGTCAAGTTGAAGTCAAAAGTTTATGATGATGAAACCACACTGATTATCATTGACCCTGTAATATATATTCATCAGTGGAAATGCTTACTGTCTTAGTAGTAGTAGCAGCAATAAGACAAAATATATTGCTAAATATTTGATAGTTGAATGGAGGAAACATTTGATATCTTTCTTCTTTATATATTTTCTCTCTAAACTTGTTCCTTTCATGTCCACTATTGCCTTGCAAAGCTCTTGATAGACTATATTGGCTCTAAGGCTGCTCGAAGGCAACCGCTTTTCTAAGTAATGCAGTTAGTCCAGGTACATTCTTTGCAAATTCTTTTTTTATTAAAAGGAGGAAACATCTCTGTGGAAGCAGTTATGCTTATTTAATGGTAGAATGCCGCTCTCATGCGTGTTCTCTCCTAGTGATGCCTTTGTTATGGGTTTTTTTTTTTTTTGCACTAAAAGTCACTAGCAAATGTCTTCATCTCTAGCAGCAAAGTACTAGCAAAATGCATTTTAAATAAAGAACTGTCTATAATATTGGCATACTTAATGGTGAAGTAATCCGAATTTTTAAAGAGAATTCTTCTATATTGTTAAACTTAAATAAACAGACCTAACTCTTGTTAGTCAAGAGTACAGAGGAACTGAGGAGTGAACATTGTGAGTAAGGGTAAAGTAGTATACTTCTTTAAGCTACTTTTTTACTGTCACTTGTTGCAGCTCACACATGATGTTTCCTTCTAGTGGTGTAATACACAGTAAATCAGGAGCCATCTTGTTAAATTTAACTTGGTAGTAATGTAGACTTTGAAAATACAATCCATGGCAATGGTGGATGTAACTGTTGCTCATTTTAAATACAGACCAAGTTTTACATTGAAATGAGAATTAAAAATGTTCCCTCCAACACCACTTTTTCAATTGAAGCTTGGGTCTGTGATTTTTCATTGTTTCAAACATAAACTGTTGAAGAGGGGGGGGGAAGGAGGAGGCAGGTTTGAATACTGTTTAATAAAAAACTTTTGTCATTTTTTTTTCTAGCAAAATTCTTTACAGCAAACTGAGGATGACCTGAAATTTTAGTGTTCTCTTTCCAGTTGATCTCATGGTACTGCATCTACAGAAGAATAAGGCCCTATTGTTTGCACAAGGGCAATTTTTGTCAACCTTCTGTAGTGTAAACCTTATGACACTTGTGCAAGATCTGTTATACAAAGTTCTGTTGACTTAGCTTTGTCACCCTGGGATATGAAAAAGAAATAGTGTTGGCAGCGCTCAGCTGGCAGGCGGACCCCTGATGCCAATGAGTTCATGCCAACAGAAAAAAGCTTTTCATCAGCCTCATTTGCTGTTTGGTAATTTTATCTTGAAGTATAATGCATGTCTCAGTCACTTCATTGCTATGTTTAATTATGCCTTTTAGCCCTGTCCTTAGCCTATTAGTGTTTATAATCCAAAGACTGTAAACATGTGCCTTAAAAGTATGGCAAGTTTATTGTCAGGCAGTTAAATACTTTTTTCAAAGATGCCACCATGTGAACTTGCACTGACTTCTGTAGCACTTAGGTGTGTAAAAATGGTGTGAGAATGTTCTCTTACGCTAAAGCGTATAGAAGCAAAATCTTTGCTTCATTTTTAAGACCTGTCAACCTTTGTAGCACATCTTTAGGAGATTAAATGCTCTCTGCAGATTCTTTACCGGATACTTAATAAGGTGCAGGTGAGGAAATCCATTATTATGCTTTCTGCCAGATGTTTACACAGCATAATACAGGGATGTGTAGAAATAAAAGCAGTTGTATTGTGTCATACCAAAGGTGCATCTAAACAAGTATATTTCATCTGACAATAATCAAATGCAAATACATGAGGAAAAGCATAGAGGACAGAGTAGGCATGCAATGAGATTTTCTGCAAATACTCTTTTAGCCTCTAGTAAATTGTGGCTCGAAAGCTTTCTGTTCCAGAAAGAGTCTCTCTGTCAGGGTTGCTTTGAATGAGATAGGTTGTCCCCTGGAAAGAGCAGAGTTGGATTAGCTGTTTCCCTCTGGAGAAGGGATAACCTGAGGTAGTGTAATGGCTCTCCACTCTACTGAAGGTTTCCACTTCTGTGGAAGTGGCACAGAAGTGCATAGGGAGGTTTGAGCACTTCCGTAGCTTTATAGCCCGATGTATTAAGATAGGAAATTTGTTCTCGTTTACTTTAGTAGGTGGTACTCTGCATTGTGGTGGTTCAACATCTAGTTTGCCAGCATTTAACTGTCCTTGTAGTAGTGGAGATGAAGCCTCCAAGAGAGGGTTGATGGACAGCTGGGTTTGTGAACCACTAGAGCTGTGGCAAGAGGAGCTATTCTCATTCATGCATCAAGAGTCATGAGCTATTATGCTTGTCTATCCTAGATGACTTTCCACACTTCTCTGTGAATTAACTTGTAGAGAGCAGCATGCTAGCATGGCTATATTATTTTTGGCATCTGAATTAGGTTGTTCAGAGCTCGCTCTAGACAGCCCTGCAATATCTGAAGCAGAAATAGCTCTTGCTTTGAGCCTATAGTGGTTCTAATCTGCCTACCTCATATTCACACTTAAAATATTTAAAATATCCCTTTGTCTGGAGTTACTGCCTGCATTCTGCTACAGTGAGTCGCAAAAGGGAAACATGAATATTAGTTATTGAGACTAAAAAGTCAATGCAAAACCTCAGGGGAATTTTGATGTAGACTGCTTTCATTGCATCTGTGGTGCACTGGAGTATAGATCAGAGAAGTAGACAGCTGAATTACTTATCAGAGGCTTACTTTCTGTCTGAAATGCCAAACTGTAATACATGAATGCATGCTGGCTACACTGAGCCTGTCTTCCCCAGCATATATTGTTTTAGAAAGTGCCAACAAATTGTTACTGAGATTTGTAATTCTAATTTGTCTTTTTTCTTGCCTTTTAAGCAGTTTATTTTGCAAGTTATGGACAACTTTCCTTTGGTATGTCTTACCTGTTATATGCTGTTTCCATTTGACAAACTGAAGCTACAGAAATCATTTCGTCCTGAGATAAAAGGATAAGATTTCAGGCAAGAGGAACTGAAGAGAGCTGTGCATATCATTCATATCAAACTAACTTGAGTTTTATGGATCTAAATCCATTTAAAATAAAAGCTGGATGCTGCAGGTTTTTCTGGACAAAGAAGAAGGAACGATGAGAAACAAGGAGAGATTTTTTTTTAATATTATTTCTTTCTGCTACTTGGTTTCTTTCAGTGAAGGTGATCTTTTTAAAAATGCATCATATTTTTTAGAGGACAGGAAAGGGCTGCTTGCTGTCTCATCTAAACAGCAGTTGCCAATGTTTTGCACTGTTACCGAAATGCCAGCAAGAAACATATGAGTCAGGATTTAAGTAGCGTTGTGCTTTTTCATAAGGCTTATCCTGAAGCTGAGGATATCTAGCATATCCCTTCCCCAGAGCAAAGCTTGCAGGGTGCTAGCGTCTCTTCATCTAAGAGGTGCAGATTTATTAGAACCTCTGTGACTCTGGTCTAGATTATTTATTTCTGAGGTCGTCATGTTGGGCATCTCAAAGTATCGTAGTGTGACTGGTTGAGCAGAGAGAGCAAACTTTTTTTAAAAAACAAAAGCTGGGGAAATAGGTGATATTGAGGGACTCGCACAGAGAGAGAAGATGCTGCAATATGTTTAAATAAAAGCCTTCATTTTGTTTTTATTAGGTGATGGAATAACAGTGTATAAAAGTGTCTTCATGAAACCTAGGTTTATATTTAACTTTCAATTTTATTTCTTTTACACAATGACTAAAGCTCTTCAGGATTTCTAAGATGACTCAAAGTCAGGAGATAGATGAATTGGAAGAAGAAAATTGTAATTGTGGTAACTACTGAAATAAGCAAATAGGGAGAAGTATTCTCCAGAAGAAAGCGTGCTTGTGTGTAAAAATTATACACATAAAACACAGACTATGTGTGTTTTACTTCTTGTATATCATGTGCATATTATGGAATGTATGTGCTATGCAGTATGTTTGACATGCAGAAGCTAGGGATGTTATTCAGTGAGTAGCTAGCAATTTGTATGGGAACTTTTATGCACTCAGGGGAACGCAGACTGGGTAGAGTGGTGCTCACACTAGGCTACCATATCTTAACTCATGGTGTGTAGAGATCAGTGTGTTGTATTGAAGAGATTTTAGTAGGTCAGCTTTGCACATGGAGGATGCTGTTTTGGCACACTGGAGTTAAAGCTACTGGACATGGCACTTTTTTTTTTTGCTTCTGCTATCTCTTTGTAAAATAAAGTTTGCATTTTCCTACCTCTTGAGGATGTAGCTTTGAAATGAGTGAGAGTCTGTAAGTCTAAAGTATGTCTGCCAAATTTCATGCTGAAGATATTTTAATTTCTTTTTCTTTTTTGTAGGTTTATAAAATATCCCCCAAATTTGCTTTCTTGGTGACATCAGGTCCTTTTGTTTACACGGCAGTGGCTGTCATAAACGTGCTTATGAACAGCAGTCTTCTTCGTGGTCAGGCCCCCCTGATCCTCTCACTGCATCCTTCTTTCACTGTGCCGGATAATAGATTCCAAGTTCAGACAGGTGAGTTATTCATAGCACTAAGAGGAGGAGATGCAACTTCATACTAATTCCCACTTCTGTACTTGTGGATGGTCTTGTGATGAATAAGTATGCAAGCTCGAGTCAGAAACCTTGCAGTCTACTCCTGGGAGTCTTAATTCATGCCTATTAATAAAATACTTGTTCAATCTGCCGTTGGGAAAGATTGTACATTCTAAACAGTTAACCCTGTAATTTCGCTAGTTCCAGGATTTTTTCCTGGCACGCAGCAAGAGAAGTGTTCTCTTTTTCTTGCTTATTTCAGTTGATAGTTCACTAGCGGAGCACGTGAAGGGAGTTTGCCTTCTTTGTCCTGCTTTAAGCGGTAGCTCTGCTCTCATGTTGCAAAATGTGCTTATTTTTAGTAGCTCCTTGCCTGTCAATGCCCTGTTCTACACTACTTTTGTAGCATTTTGGAAAAGGTGAGAAGAGGAAAAACTCTTTTGAGTGTGAAGCATTTTGTCATAAAATCACAATGCAGACACTTTTTAATGCATGACTCAAGTTTCAAATGATCTTTACCTTAAATGCTACTTTTTCAAATTCTTCTGATGTGGGAGAATTGGTGAGCAAGAGGATTGCCCATGTACGGTTCAGCTTTCCGTGGCAGGCCTATGGCAGTAGTTAATGTAAAGTCTGTGACTACTAATAATCTAACATATTAACCATGAAACAGTTTTTGAGAGCCAGTGGTATCATTTGAAAACTTCTTAAGCCAGTATTTGCATAACAGAAACACTAACCTGGCTGGGTGACTTTGAGTAATCAGGTAGTAACAGGGATTGAGTAAACGGGGAATGCATGAGCAGAGAGTGCATGAATTACCAGCACAGGTGCTTTTATTCAATTTCCAGCACAGGTGCTTTTCTTCACATCTGCTTCATGTGCTTTTTCTGCTCTGGTAACATCTGTATTGTAAGACATAAGTTCTCCAGTTGTGCCAGCGTGATATCTTTCTCCACTGCTTAAAATGGTTATGGAGATAGACACCAGATGCATTTCCTGCTCTTAATGCTTGTGTAACCCTGATACTAGCCTCTGTAACCTAATGATGGCATTTATTTGCTTAAGAGCGTATTATCAGGAAATTTGTAGATGTGCATGTAATTACAAGTGTGTGTGCCCTCTCACATGCGTGCTCTCTCTTTTTCTCTCTCTCGCTCCCTCACACATGTGCACACCCGTGCACGTACATGTGAGTGAGAAAGATTTTAAAGTGTATCTATATAGATTTAAAAGTATACTTGATAGTAAGGTATTTTGAAAGTGTTAAACTGATGTTAATGTGTGTTAATGGACCAAATATGCCGTCTTTTAGCCAGGCTAAGTATTACATTTTGGTCTGTGAAGAATTTTGTTGTTTTTCTTCAGATTTTCATTGACCTGTTGGATATTGAGGATTTCAGTATGGCTGTTTGTGTTCAAGTCCTATAAAATTAGCCAGCTTGTGTGTGGCAAAGGTCTTTCAGTATGCTCGAGGACATCATGGATGTTTTGTCTCTAGAGTCTTTTTGTAGTCTAGTTACTGCTGCAACAGATAATGACTAGAGAAGTTACTGACTGCACCAGTACAAAATGCATTTCTTTCAACAGTTTTATCCAGGTTTTCATGGAGTATGTCCTGAATTCCATGAAAAAGTGACAACTCTGTGAAGTGAGGATTCTCTTGCTTATTCTGTTTTCTTTCTCTCTCACGGAAGTGCTTGTCTGTAAGAATAACATATGCCCTTTGCCTTCAGTGCTTCAATTTGTGCCTCGGAATGTGGATGTTGGGTTCTGCAATTTTAGCCAGCGCATTGAGAAAGGACTGACAATGGCATTCATGGAGGTGAGCAAACATCACCAGGACTTCTACAACTTCACTGTGCAGGTGAGAGTATTAGTGTGCTCTGTATCTCTCCCTTTTTCTCCTCGCCTTCGGTTGTCTTGTGTTTCATCCAGCTAGTAATACTGAGTTAGGTGTTCACTGCTACCACTTGCTTTCTAGATCATGCAGAACTGTGATGCTTTGTCATGAAGTCAGGATTTTTTTCCTGCAAAATAATTTGGCACCACGCATCCCTCTGGTTTCAAGCTTTCTGAGAAGGTGATCGAAGAAGACGAAGACTTATATCAAGAATCATTCATGAATATAATAAGAATATAAATGTGTTCATAGTTTTTATGTAAAGATTGTCCTGGCCCTTGTCAAAATCATTCCTATTGGATCTTACCATTACAAAGTCGAATGTGGCTAGTACGTTTTTGTTTGAAGATGCCAGTCAGATATAATTGCTGTTCAGGGGCTCCTATTAGGGAATATAGACGTTACATGCATTCTGCCATCGTGTGGCAGAAGTTACATGCATTCTGCCATCTGCAAACATGGTAGTTGGTTACGAGGTCTAAAGATACTTGTAGTAGTATATGATGTCTGTGACATCCAACCGTCTTGTAAAACCAAAATTAGAAAGTGTTGTATTGTTTAACTGGCACTGTAAATGCCTGTTTACGGTACCCTAAAAATAAAATCATAGAAGAAAACAAAGCATAAGCTTTATAGTACATACAGTTGAAAGTGCATAGATATGTACCTGGAATAGTACATTTGAATGACTGTTGGTTAAAATTAAGACAGATCATACAAAACAGTTTTTTGAACTATCAACTTAGCAAACTTGTATTTTAAATACTTCCGTACTCTCTGGAAGAAGTTTGTTTATGTGAACATAGTTGTTGTGTACGTTGGTGCTAAAATGAGGCTTTTAACCCTTGTTAGGGTCAGGGAGTGTGCAGTGCAGTAGGTTTTCACTAACAGAACTACTGTTTACATGCTGTGTCTTTATCATGGTCTCTCCCTGTCTGTTCCATGAAAATTGGTCTCCACCTAAACTTGCTTTATGGGTACATTTATTTTGCTGACTGTAGTCTTAGGCATTATTTTCTATCGTTTTCTGAAGAGTAGCTTTTCAGGTGAGAAGAGGAATGTGTAACTTTGCTTCTTCTATGACTTAGCAGGCTGAACTGATCTGGAATTGATGTTCCTCTGTTCTGGTGTAGAGTCCCATTTCACATTAGGAAGAAAATTTCTGTGAAGGAAGAAATGGAAATGCTAATGATTTGATTTTGCTAACCTCGCTCCAATCTTGTTTTTCAGATACTGAATATAACTCTGAGTAGGACTGGAGTAGCATTTCGACAGGGCCCTGTGAGCATTGTTTTTGCCATCCGAGATAGATACGGTTTTCTAAATGGGTCCGACGTCAGTGAGCAGCTAAGAAACTTGTCTGTGGTGGAATTCAGCTTCTATCTCGGCTTTCCTGTGCAGCAAATTGCTGAACGTGAGTACTTGCTCTCACTGAGACTGAAAAATATTATTTTTACTGTTTTTTTTCCCCCTGTATAATTTTAAAGTGAGTCTGCACATAAGTTACAATGTAGCTTCAAATATCTCATTTGTGTCAGAAACTTTGCAGAGCCAATCTATATGCTCACATAGTCGCAATAACCAGTGTCTCAATAACTTGTTACTTTTGTCAACATCCTTTCTTTCTGTACTGGTCAAGTTGTGCCGAACCTGGCTTCATTTTCCCTGGTCCTGCTTTAGATATTAGAAGAAAAAAAGAAGCCACTCCAATCATTGCTGCTGTGAAGTGTGTTTCTAGGTGTGTCTCTGGATATGTCTACAGGGGCATTTTCTGCTTCTCAGCAGGATTTACTCCTTTGGGTTCTGTGCCATGCTTAACTGTGGTGCTGACCTTTTATTTATTTTTTTTTCAGTTAAAGCTCTCAGAGCGGGAGCTCTCCCTGTGTCATGTGCATGTCTATAGTGGCTAAACAGGGGGGGTGGTTCCTGGCTGATGCCAGGAGAGTTCTGTGGTAGCTCCTGAGTTAGTGAGACGATTGTAAAGTAGAATGAGCAACAGGGCCAAAGAGTACCCACGGAAAGTGGCCCCATTAGAATTTCTCCTTTTGCCTGACTACTATGAGGGTTTGCAAAGAACTCATGTAGATTTTTGGCTGCTGTTGCCTGGCAAATTTAGCTTCTGTATGTACCACAGCATATCCAAGCATGTGGATGAGATATTTTTTTACCTTTGTTTCAAGCTTCAGAAATTGTTTGTTTGTTCAGATTTGCGAACCTTAACAAGCATGCCAGTGGTGTTCTAATATAATTCTTGCCGATTCCAGCCTAGGCATCTAAACTGTGCTAATCATCAAACACTAAATTATTCTCCCTCCCTTCTAATCTGCCAGCAAATCTCCCAAACCACCTCCAAACTTTAAATCTTCAAACAAATCCTTAGTGTAGGAAGGCAGACTTACTCATCAATGGTGATTAAGTCCTTTACGATAAATATTCTGTTGCAGACTCATTTCTGGAGCTTTTGATGAATGCTGTTTTGGGTTAATTTGTCCTATAAACTTCTAGTCTACCTTTCAAGTAAGGAGGATGATGACAGCGAACGAATCTATGTATGCACCCTTGCGTTTGATGACTTGACCTTACTGCTGACATGGTGTATTGAATAAATGTTGCCACCAGAGCATAGCCTTTGCCTCAAAGATCTCTGTTAGAGTTTGAAGTTGTTGATATCTCTTAGTTTGCCTAATGGTGAAATTTTGAAGAGCCTTCAAATTTGTCTAGGCTAAATTTTCAATACATATAATTTTGAATTAATAGAAATGAAATAAAACGAAATACATTTAATATATTAAAATGAAATAAATGAAATTTCAGTGTGTTGAGACAGATAAATACACTAGAAAGAATTAATTTTTTTAAGAAAGATAAGATCTTCCTAAAGTCCAGGATGTATAAAAACTGAGGATTTGGTGGATATGGTGCCCTAACTCAAGGAGTATCTTGTCAGTATTTGACTTGTGTATTACTTGAGCAACTCATGTGCTGTGGATTTAGCTAACTGCAGGACAACTCATTTTGATTTGAACTTTTCTGTTGCAGTCTCAGTAGTGCTTCAAGGTGTTTATACTCACTGTTTTGGAACACCAGACATGGAGCCACGTGATAGGTCAACAAAGTGAGAACACAGTTTCTCAGCTTGCTCAGAGCTATGGGTCTCTCTGTCAGCAAGCATGAATGTAATTCATTTTTATAGAACAGGGCAACATCACTCAGTTATTTTTAACTGTTTCTGCGGTTTTTTGCACTGTTGCTGTGATGCTGTTTTGATCCAAGGGATTTTAGATCTTTAGTATTCAGAGCCAGCAGTCATGCCCAAAGGCTCAGCAGCGCTGGCCAGATCCTTCTTGAGACATCTAACTTGGCAGTCTGTTGAGGATGACTAAGAGCCAGATCCTCAAAGTACTTTGGCAGTGAGATGCCTAAATACTTTTGGCTCCCTGGGCCCTGAACTATCTGCCTTCTTACTTTCCTGTGGTCTACTGAGCAGCCATGTAGCGGGGGAGCTATTGTGAAGATCTTTCTTTGACAGGTAGCTGCTTTGCTCTGTGCAAATTATATGCAATCCTTTTGATATGAACATTTTCAGGAGTTTTGGAAGGTATGTTGACAAGTAAACTGTTCCTTTCCGTCCGGTTCTATGCCATTTGCTCCTTAGTTATCAGGCCCAGCAGCACTTAATGCTCTTGGTGGTGACCTGATTTTCTGAAGTCTCTCAGTCTTCAGAAAGTTTTATTGTAGTCTGCATCTGAAGAAAAAGAACTGATTTGTATGTGAGCTGACCTGTCAGGGCTTCACGTTAAGGATTCATATTAAGGAGAAGTTACTTATGTAATACCACTGTCACTTAGCATTGTTAGGCCAGCTGAAGTAAAACCTTGCCTTTGATATCCTGAATATGAGCCTTGTATGTATTTGATCCCTAGTTTTTGTTCAGTTCGCATTGCCTTCACACACAGTCCTTTCATTAGGTTTTTCACATAATTAATATGAACTGCTTATACTTGGGGTAGCTTGTCCCTGTGCAGTAGTACATCATTAACAATTCGGATTTTTTAGTCAGTCTTTTCCCACTCATTAAGAAGAAAAGTATAATGAAAGTTGTCATTTTGGCAGAATGGACGCTTCTGTGCAGGAATAGGGCTGTTGTAAGCATGAGAACTTCCTGACTGTGGGTTTGTGTGTTGCGTGAGGGTGGAGTTTGGGGGGGGTTTCTTTCTTTTCTTCAGAGACTTCTAGGTAACTTAAGCAACATGCCTATACTAAAAGGTTCAGTTTACATTTTCCTGCCAACTAATTTTGCCCTGTCTACCTTCCATTTCACGTTTTAGATTGTTAACTTATTCGGTTAGGTGGTCAGAAACTACATGCAAAGCATTCAGCAAAAAGAAACCCCACTCTAGGCACTAATTCATTAAAAATAATAGGAAGGAATATATTCAGTATCTCTTTACAGCTGGAAAATGTCTCTGAGGACAGCCAAAGGCTGGCTGTGGACTAGATGAGGGGTATTGGCCTTTGTGACCTTACCTGCAGTAAATCTTTGTTTTTGTTGTGGCTTAAAGTAGAGAGAGTTGCCTTGGGACTTGCTATGTTTTCAGTGCTGTTAGTAGCACCTTAATGAGTGTTACCTATTTCAGAAACCTTGGAGATGTTGCAAGGTCAATAGGTTAATGCAAAATCATATGGTATGGTCCAAAGACTGCAGAAATTGCTGGCCGTTTTTATTCGAGTGGGTTTTGAATCAAGCTCTCAACAGATAAATTGTTTTAGGGTTATCCACAACCCAGTATTTCCATAGAATCTTACTTTTCAGGTGATGTTCTCTCATTCAGAAATGTACGTTTACTCCATGCTTGCTATTACTGTTCCTGCTTGTATCGTAAATAAGAATGATCGGTTTGGTACCGGTTCTCTCACGCGTGTTCCCACATGTCTTCATGTAAGAGGCCAGAGATATCCTCTTTGGAGCATCTGGCAAAGGGCGTGTTGCGGGAGGAGCATGCTTCAGACTGCTACTAGAAGAGAGATTTCTGCATCGCTAGGTGGCCCTTTGCCATTTCAGTCAGTATTGAATCAATGTCATTACATGGTATGACGTTTCAGGAGTGTATGTTAGAATCTTCTAAATATGATAGCATGCGCTTTATTAATGCATCTGTAGTCATTAGTAGACCAGCCACAATTTAACTTATAATTGCATTTTGTCTATCCAGTCTTCCCCTTGAGAATAACAATCAGTCTGTGCTGTTTTTAATCTTCAGATCTTAGGGGGCATTAGGAATCTGGCAAATATGTTGTTCCTGTAGTGCCGAGGCTCCAGCTGAGCTCAGGGTCTGGCCACATGTGCATTGGTGTGAGACTGAGTGATTTTCTGACTGGTCACCACTGTCTAAATTTCAGAAATGTCTTTCATTTCATGTGTTTGGTCAGGTTTTAGAACCCAGACTTAGCTGCCAGTGATCAGAGCACTTTGTCCTTTTCAGTTTTAAGATTTTCTGCTCAAGGCTTGTTATTTTTAAGTTTCATTAATTCCATGTAAAGTTTAAGTGACTAGTCATCTAGCAATTTGCATGAATTAAATCATTTTCAAGTACTAATTAGAAAAAGCATGAAGAGCACATTAAGCGTCGAAGCAAAACATTATTTTGGTTTAAACGAAGGAAAAAAACTCACAACTCTTAGCAGCTCAAAGTCGTATTGCCATTGCAAAGTTTTTGATTTTCTTATCTTGCTCTTCCCAAGCTTTGGAAAATGCAGATGCAGTTTTGTTTATGCTTTTATTGTTCAGGTTGTATTTCTAAATTGAAGTAAACAATTGCATGAGCAGCGTAAATAAAACTCTGATTTTTAAGCTACACTCAGAAGAACCGTGCAGCAGCGTGCCAAAAAATAAATGTGTTAAAATAAGTGGACTGTAGGGTGCTTTTTGTATGTGATTTTTAGAAATTTGATGCATCCTGGTCAGAATACAGAGTACTGATGTCTCCTATTCAGAATAAAGGCCCATATTCTGATGCTCTTCTCAAAGTTAAGGCACAAGTGATACTCTTGAAACTAGTGGTGGTGTTACTGAAATGAAGGTGGAATTAGACTTCAGAAGATGTCACATTTCATTTTTTCATAGGGTTTTTTTTAAACCTATAAAAATAAATGGTATAATATAACTAGTGATTCTTTTGCTCTTGCATTAGCAGAAAATTCAAAGGTTTTTAAGGGGCAAAAAAATGGGTTGTAGAAAATGAAGCTTGAGTGGGTACACTGACGGAGGTCAGCTACTCTACAAATTATGTCCTAATTAAATTAGAAAACTAATAATTTTCTGTTTCTCTGAAACAAGTAATAGTGCCATATATACAAGTTCTAGAACTGAAAACAAGCTATCTTCATTCTAAATACTGATCTGGCATGAACCGAGTCATTTTAATTATGTGCCTCATTCTTTCTAGTCATAAAATGGTTTAAAAATTAACTCTTGTAAAATGCTTAGCAAACTGCAGCTGGATTATCAAATATTTTGAGAAAGTTATGACCCTTCCTTTTTGTTACAGTTTTCTTATACTGAAGCTTAAGACATCCCTTGAGTAAACTGTTGGCCCAGCCCCCACCTTCATTTGTTTCCCAACACCTCTTTACTGCACTCCAGTGGAAATCCTTGGGAAAAAGCTTAGTCCTACTCAAGCCAGTAGAAATTGACTTTATTCACTGCACTGGGGCAAGGATTTCACTCTGGAGCATGGCTTTTTGGAACAGTTGTGAAATAAAGAAAACCTATTGGCACAGGTCAAGCATAAGCCACAAGATTTGTCCACAGCAATGCTCTTGCACACGTTCATTTTGTGATTTTTATAAAATAATTTAGCAAGGTGATGTTTTTCAAATAATATTTCCCCCACACCAGCCTGGAACACAAATCAAATCTGTTTAGTTTTCTGCTTTACACTTAATATTTCCATGCAGTTTCTGCCTCACAGAAGGTTGTATTCCCATTCTCAGGCACTCATGAATTGCCTTGCCACCCTTTGAGCAAAAGTCTCGTCCTGCAGTTTAGCTCAGTAAGAATCAGAATGTGGACGGTGAGCTTTACTTTTAAGTTTCTAGGAGCAATGACCTCAGTATAGTAGCTTGAAATCTTTTAGGTAATAAATCTGACTGCTTCAGTCAGCTGCTTTGTGTTCGGAGATGAACGGGGGAGTGTATGTTCAGAGCACTTGCCTTACTGTTGGGTCTGCACAGCCTCAGGACTTGTAATACGTGTGTAAATAAGATGCTTACTGACAGCATAAATTATGAAGTGGCTTCTTTTTTGTGTGTGTTGTTAAGAATACCGTTCTTATGGATGTTTTTCCTCCATTCTGTTTTTCCCCCAGCCTTTCATTATCCTAAGCTTAATGTGTCTCAGTTGATGAAATCTTCCTGGGTGAGAACAGGTACGTACAGTTTATGTGAGTAAATAAGAGTGCAGTTATTTTTGTTAATGGGGAAAATAGCCTAGGTGAATATTGATGGCTTAGGGGTGCTGCATGTTTACAGAGTACTAATGTTCCTGAGCTGTATACATTCTAAAACTGAAGGCCTAATGACCTGGAACATCTGGGAAATATAATTCCTAGGTCTGGCGTGAACTACTGCGATGCCCTGATAATGGGCACACAGTGGCTTTTTTCTGTAAAGCTATTCATTCTTAGTGGGACAAATTATACTCTCAGGCATAAGGAGCCTATTTCATGTACTGTCAATATCACACTTTTTTTTTTTAAGGGTTTTTCATTTTAAGTGAAAATTAAAATTTTCTTTACATGTGGCACTTTATACTAAAACATGCCAGGAGTATAACAGGATAAAAATAGATGTGTTCAGAGTAAGTGAGACAGTTTCATCACGTTTCATTGATCTCTTCTGATTCATTCATGGCAGATCGCTCCCACCCAAGTCTACTGGATATTTTATTCTGTAGTTCACAGATCTGGTTGAGCTGTCACTTGTAGCTGCTCAAAGGCTGTTGTGTTGGCCTGCCAGCAGAAGCTCCTACCTGCTTCTCAAACCCAGAAAGTCTAAATAGCAACCAGGCTATGCCTAGCAGCCTCACTGTTAAGGTGCAGATGCCCTTTGTCCTCCCCCAGCTTTCCCACCCTGAATTCATTGGTAATATACACATACCTTTTTTTGTTTGTTTATTTGTTTGTTTTTTCAGATATCCCTTTATTTGTTTGTTTTTTCAGATATCCCTTTCTCCTCTCTCCAGTAAACCAGTATATTTTTAAGGAGGAAACCAAAGTAGCAGCTTATCTTCTGAAGTCTACATATTTTTTAAGAGAAAAATAAACTATTTCAGATGATGTTCCAAAAGTGGAACAGAATTTACGTGCGTGCATCCCACCTCCAGTGTTATCCCCACTTTGAGGGGGGCTTTTATGGCTTTTAAGCTTTTATGTTGGCTTTTTTGGTCAGTTTTGTGGAGACCCATTCCCTTCTCTCCCCTTTTCAGCCTTAGATTTGCTTTATCCATTCTTGCTGAAAGTTCTCTTAGATCCTGCATTAAAAAAGGTTCTTCTAGCTCAGAAGTCATGTCCTTTTGTATTTTCTAAGCCTCCTGACAATTAGGATTTTTTAAAAATCAGTTGCAGCAGCTTGATCTTTCTTTGCTGCAAGGGAATCTTTTGTAACCCAAATTCTTGTAGGCAGCCTGGGAAGAACTAGTACACTTGGGCTCGGTCAGTCCTTTAAACCTGTGCATTGTATTGTAAGGGCAAAATCACTTTGTGTTAATACCTTTTTTTCATTATTTGGTAGCTGTTTCTAGACAGGTGACATGACTCATGACATAGGCAAATGATAGGATTAATGCACACTAAGATGAGGTTTCTTAATATCATATTACCAAGGTAGGTCAATGCATATTCTGAAGAATCATGACAGTCACAAAAAAGTAGCAGAGTATAGTTCATGCTTGCAGAGTATAGTTCATGCTATTAAGTATAATTCCCTGGTATTGAAATTCAATATGCAGGCAAGAATGGTCTTCAATTTGTTGTATATAATAGCACTAGGTCACTGTCTATTTATTTTGGTATTTAGTTCTGTGATACTTAGTCTATGACTGAAAGTAGTACAGCAAGGCTATTGATCTCTATGTGAAATTATGGAAATGTTTCCTTTTCTCCCGATATATCCACTGCATTTTTTTAATTTAAAAAGTATTTTAAAACATTTTTTGATTTAAATTGAGATAATTAAAATTATATCTAATTAAGTGACTATTTACTAAGCATCACACTTTAAAAACTTGAAACATTTACTGAAGAGGCTTTTTAGAAAGAAATAAGCTGTTTGAGTGGAGAGCTGAAGGAATAAAGCTGAGTTAATTTACCGCGGTCAGTGGTGAGTTGGTTTACTGTCCTTTGAGGTTGTTTAATTAGATTGTTCGAATGACTGTCCCTCCACTCACTCTCCCTTTATTTTACCGGCTGCCATCCTGTTAGTAAAGGTCCATAGTTTGATGATGTTTCCTTTGTGGTGTTCCTCAGGGAGTCCGCTCACCGTTAGCTGACAACCAGACACTAGTGCCTAGGGTGGGGAGTGAGGGTGGCAGGGCAACTAACCAACTTTTTTGTGCCACGGTTGAGACACTGTCAATCTTTACCTTATTTAGGCAAGATGTACCCTAACTACATGGCTCTATTTGGTTTCCGCCATGTGGTGCTGCTGCTGCTCTCCTCCCATTTTTTCTGAGCCCTTGCCCTTCCCATCTCTAACTCTGCTTGACCTCTGAACATAAAATTATGACTGAAAGTAGTTGCAGCAGATGATTTAGCCTCAATTTTCTCTTTTGGTTGTTTATGAGTAATTCATTAAATGTTCATATGTCCATGTTTTTTTTAGAATTGGAATTGTTTCTTCAATGTTCTGGGTCTGTCTAGACTGGATGAGATTCCAGAAATGCCCTCCCCACTCCCCTCCTTTTTTTAATTTACATTTCTTTTAACCTTTTCCCATCCAGAGCCTTATGTTCCAGTGTGTAACCTCTGGCTGACCTTGGCAGTTCTTCTGTATGAGTACTGCTGCTCTTGAATTGTCCGTAAGACGTCACAGGGTGACTCGATGCTTATAACTGAAGTTGCAGAAAAGACACTGACAACTCTTACTAATTCATTTGTGTTCTTGGGTTACTTTCTCTGCAATGTAGTTCTCTTGGGTGTCGTCGACCAGCGAATTCAGGAGGAAGTGTTTCAGGCTGAGATGGAGCGGAAACTGGCTCACCTGTTAAACGAGGCTTTGGCCAGAGGGCGGATATGGAGAAGAGCCAGTTTTGCAGGCAGCAACATTGTGCAGGTATTAAGAGCTCAAAGTCAGAGGAAGAAATGAAGGAGAATAAATTATTTAATAAGTTAATCATATCTAGGTTTTGAGTGCAGGAAAGATAACACAAAAGTATGTATTGCATCTGACTGGTTTAGCTAGTTTATTATGGTTGTATTCTGCACCTAAAATATTATTCTTCTGGTTACTCTGTTATCTTTTAAACTGAAATTAACAAGTGGAAACAACTAAGTACTTGAAGTAGCTACCAGAAATACTGATGACCTTTTTTTTTTTTAATAGCGTATTGAAAACTGCCTTTGCCAATGTCCTACTTTAAAAACTTGCTAACGTTCTGGCTTGCGTGAGGTGCCTAGCAGAAGGAGATAGAATGGTCACTTTGAGTCAAAAAGGTACTCTGCTGGAACAGCCTCTTCACAGTTTTTGAAATGTTTATAGATGATCTGTGGTGTTTCAGTGACAGTGTAGAAATATGAAATAGAATCAAGTGTTGTTTGCAGCAGTAGAATAGTATAGCCTACCTGCTAACTGCCTATTTGTCACAGTACTCGAAGTTACAGGAGTGGTTTTCAAATAAGAATGATTAATTATGTCAAATTTTGCGCACATGTCAACTTCTGTTTATGCTATCTGGATTCCAGTGCTTCTTTATAGTTTTGTCATAGGTGGATTTATTGACTTAATGTCCATAAAAATCTAATTTTTAGATTATCACGTATGTTCCTCTAGCCAGATCAACAAGCTGAAGACCACATACGTTTTAATGGATGATCTTCTTTAAAATTTCCTTTTGCAGCTAATTCATTGCAAGTTTGCTGATCTCACATATGTCATTCTACAAGTTCAGACCTATTATCTTTATTTAATTTAATCCTGCAGTTTTTGCTACCGCTTTAATTTCCAGATGCTGAGGTTTTCTTATTTTATTTTCCTGCCTCAGAAGCATCTGTCTCAGTAATAGATTTTATTTTATTTTTTTAGGTGCAGCTTTGAATTGCTGTAAATAGGTGTCTGCTTCAGATCTTACATTCCCAACACCTTTTGCTCTTTATGCCTTAGTCCTACCTATGCATATCAAATACATAATCCTTATGTTACTAGCAAAGTTGCTGTAGTCTATAATATAAAGTGTATGTGTAGATTACTGTTTTACTCTTTTAGGTAATAAAGCTCAGATATTTTATTGTTTCCACGCACAAAATTCCAAGCAAGTCCTTTCTAGCTAAAGAACAGTATTTCAGAGTGTGAAAATGCAGTGTTTTTCTTACTGACTTTGTATCATTCATGGGATGTAAAATGCGCTCCGCAGCTCATGTCCCAAGCCTCAGTACTGCTCACTTATGCCACGTAATTAGTGCAAGAAGTCTGCAAACTTCCCTCTTCAGACAGTGGAGGTATGGCAGTCAGCACATCGTACCTTCCCACATAACACAGTGCTATTCTAGGTGCTCACAGCTACCACTGTTAGATATGGTTACCACCATAATAAAGGAGGTGTGGAAGAAGGAAGGCTGCACACACCTTGTGGTGTGTGATCCTTGGTGCTAGGTATCCATGATGGGTGGCACATCAGGAGAATGGGATGTGCTGTCAGGTACCATAGCTTCTTGTTTACTTGCTTTTGCAGGCTAGTCAGGGGTGTTGTAGGCTTAACGGCTATTGGTTTATGGTATCTCAGGTAGCCTTTATTAAGCATAAATGATGCCTGTTATGTAATGCTTAAAGCTCCCGGGTGAACTGGTTACTGTTATTCTGTCTCTGAGGCCAACTTCCTAAAACCCAGAAAGTGAGTAAACTTCTATGTCATCTGTTTTTGAGTCATTTGCTGTTGCTCTCAGAAGACAGGGGGAAGAGGTTCTCTTTTGTGCAATATTTTCCAGCATTGATAAAGGTATCTGTGACTTCTTACAATTTAATTAGTATGACTGCATAGTTCAGTAAGCCTTCTGTTTCTTCCCTCCCGCAATTTCCAGCTCTCAGAAGTGTATTCTAACCTGTACTCTGCAGGAAGAAGCTACTGCAGTGATGACTGCTGTAGGGAATATACATGCTGAAAAGACATGTCTGTAGAACACAAAACAGGTTGGCTAGGTTTGGTTTGCATTAGGCTGGTAGATAATTAAGGAGTAGTACTGCCTTAATAATCATTTCTTCAGAAAGTAACCGTATTTTCACCGATTGTTACCTTATGTTTTTAAGGGCTCAAAACATAAAGTGACCAAACATGTTGCTACCTTTTTCTGTTGCTCAGGCACAGGACTGGCTGGAACAACTGAGTTTTATATGTGCAGCAGGGCTGTAAACTTAGCCTGTATTTGCTGCATGCAGCACTAGAGATGAGAACCCAGAATCTGAGCAGGTGAAGACTTTTATGCTGACAGCGGGTTTCTTAGGTAGTGTCTTGACTACATTAGTATTCCTGTGCTGCAAGAACTGTTAATTATGCAGAGCTGGTCCTATGCTGACCTCTTCCAGTCCTAGTGTAACAGATACGTCAGCCTTATGCATAGTACAAAGACGTGTGCAGCTGGAGTGATGGCCCCCCCGTTAGTGATATCCTGAGTGGAGAAGCATTCCTTCCAAGGGTGCTCCTCTGTCAGTCGAGGATCTGGTCTATAGTCACTTGCAATAAACCTTTTAGTTTTACTGCTGCTATTTCTCTTCTTCATAGCCCAGTCTGTAAGTTCTGTTTGAAATGTGTTATGTGTATGCATCTGCTTGTGTTTTCAGAGACAGCCATTCATGTTCTTTCAATGTTTTCTATTTAGAATTTCCCTTATATATATTGTACGCAAACCAATGATTAATGTAATGACAAGCCACAATGAAGTGAAAGTAAGAACAAAAGCTTCAAGTAACACCAAACCTTTCGTTACTGTTATTAGCAGGTCATACATATATCCATGAAAGACAAGACACACTCGTTTTAGTTGTGTTAAGCCCCTTTAGACCTGAGTTTTGGCTGAGGTGAAATATATTTATAGTGTACTGAAATTTATACTGTACTGAAATTTATAGTGTACTGTGACATTGCTAACCTCTGTGGAAAATCAAGACTGCGGGTCAGAAGGTGAAGCAATTATTTGTGAATGTTACTGCAGGCATGGTTTAGTTTCTTTTCCTTGTTCTCTTTACCTTTTTTCTGTCTTTTTTTCCTTTTCCAATAAAATAGAACTGATACCTTGTGAATTTTAGATTTCATTTCTAAATGACCATGTTATGAGCTAAGAATGTTAAAACTTACTCCTTTAAATATAGACACTTTGAATAAGAGCTTCAGATTACCTGGGGTACCCAAGTGACACATTTTTCCTCCACTTGTTCACCTATCTATGGTGATACTCCATGATTAAAAATGCAGGTGGTACTCCATGATTAAAAATGCCTATAACCATCACCTATAAAAAGGCTCTGAAGCCTCACAGCTGGCTGTAATACATAAGGTAGCTCTATTGATTTTTGTGTAATGTTCATATTAGTGTTTCACAGAGCAGGTAATATACGTTTTTAGTACGTTATCTGCTGCTGCTGCAATTTCAAGCCACGTACTCAATGCGGTTTGCACTGCATCCTATGCAGACTGGGCCACGTGATGTATTTTGTCAATAGTTTATCACAATACTTCTACTCCTCATTACATTTTTTGAGGAATTAGGAGGCTTAAATGTGGTTTAAAAATACAACAGCAGCTAATACAAAAATAATTTTTCTTTTGAACCGAATAGAAAGCAAGAAGGTGATCCTGCTAAGTGACAAAACGTGATGGTCTAGTTTAAGGAAAAGAGCACATTAAATGGTACTGTAGTTATAATGTGCTTGAGAAAATAATAGCTATAGGGGGACATATGACTGAATCAAGTTTTTCGTTAAAGCAGAGGTTCATTCTCTTGGTTTTCTACTAATAGCTTATATGTCTCTCCCACATATAATCTGAGCAAAGGCCAGGTCCTTCTGGGAATTTTTAGGTTTTAAAATAGAGCCTTTGGGAACTGCTGCTGCTTGACCTTTTCATTATAGAAATGTTTTGCCCCTCTGAGAGCTGCCCCGTGGGGAGCACTGCCCCTCCATTTGCCAGCTGACACAGAGCTGGATGGGTTGCCAGAGCAGTGCTGGTGGCAGGAGCCTGAGGACCTTTACGGAGGTGGATGCTGAGGGTACACTTTAGCAGAGTCCCCGAATTTTCGATAGCATTTTGCCTTTTTAGGTTTCTAGTTGTCTACTGTAAGGCTACCCACAGCCGGTTTCTGTCTCTGGCACACCAGTTTCTCAGCTGGCAAAGGAGAAGTGGTTGGCTGACTGCAGCAAACCACCAGAGGAAAATTCCTTAGTGGCGTGCTCTGTATTCTGATCCTTTCCACTCATTTGCAAGTCTCCCCAGCTCAAGATGACAAGGGTCTGCCTGCAGGATCAGGGCCTGTATGCCAAGCTGATTAAGTATTTGATGCTGTGACAACAACTGTACTGCACAGCCCCAGCCAGAGCACTTAAGGACAAAGCTGGAAGCCTGTAAGCTGCACCAGTATTTCCTATCTTGACAGGTTTATATAAGAACTTTCTCAGACCTAGGGCAAGTGGTGTGTGATGCTTATTTCAGATATGTTTTACGTTGCATTGTCGTCTGAACCATTCCGACCATGGTGCAGTTTGATTTAATTGCATGGACGCTGAAATCCTACTTTAAGTAAGGTGGAATCTTTTTTGGTTATTTCCTATGGGATGAACATAGTGAAATGGGAAAATAATCCTGGTGCATACATTTTGGAGTTTTTATGTGTGTTTGTTTGCTTGTTTCTAAGTAACCCTTTGCCTGCAAAACCCTGAATAGATTCACACAGGGATTCCTTGCCTCTGAACGGGTTGCTGACTGGGAGATCTCACTTGGCTGACTGACAGTCTGCAAATGCTTTTTGAGTTCGTCCACCACCTGGATTTTCTTGCTACAATTATGAACTAGACTTGGTTACCAAGGCAACTCTGCTCACTGACCTATGATATTCTCTTGAAAACACTTTTTAAATTAAAATAACTGACACCTGGACACAATTAAGCCTTTAGTCTGTGAAGGTTAAATGCACATCTAATATCAACACAGATGATGCAATTTATGCACACAGAAGTTGAATGAATTAGTCTTTTTTTAATTTTCTGTCTCCAGTGTATTGAAATTCTCACATCTCTTCCCTCCCCTGTGTGTTCCTTCACTGCCAAAGTAAACATGTAGACTGCTTCCTTATGCATGGACTGCATTTCTGGATGCCTGAAAAATAACATTTCTGTCTAGGCTTGCATTCCTAGCCCTCTCAAGGAGCGGGGGGAAATCTCTGTAGAGTATGAGAACAAGAGGAATTTGAAGTTGCATGGAAGATGTAATTTGAAGTAAAACGGTGTGGCAAAAAATGGTATGAAACTTACTATACAGAAATTATGTTAAAAAAACATGTACAGTGGTTCTGTACCTTGATTTTTAAAACAGACTTAAAAATAATTCAGATTCAATGTGCCATTTTCTGTATTGCAGAAAACTCAAGAGTTCAGTTAAAAAAAACACACACACAAAGTTTTGGTGGTAATGTGACAGATACGAAAATTCAAGTACTGATATTGTCACAGTGCCTGAGTACCACACATGTCTAGTTGTCTCATAGTTACCCCAAGAATACCCTACTCAACCATCAACTATTCCAGGATAGAAATCCATAACCATTCCCCCCCTGGATTTGAAATTTAGGCTGCAGCTTCCCTCAGTATGGTGTGAGCACTCATGAAGAGTTATGAATTCAGAACGAATTCTTTCAGAGAAAAGGTATCTTAAAATAGTGAGCTCAGTTCATCAGCACCAGGCTCTACCTCCACCCTCCATTGAATTACTTCATACTCATTCCCATGTTCCCTAAACTCTGCCAAAATACCTCCAGCTACTTCTTTTCTGCTTCCCCTCCGACTACTCTTCCGCTCCCCTACTCCTCAACATAGAGAGCCATAAACTCTATTAAATCTCTGTTGTTTTTAATTATCTATTAGAACTGGTATTGTTTCAGTCATGGCAACTTGCACTGGAACCTTTCCTCCTTCCCTTCCTCCCTTTCTAAAGGCAACTGTAGGAGTTCCTTTAACCCATTCAGCAGGAGTTTGACTACTATCCGATGTATATAACACAAGTAAGCAGCATAGTACTTTTTAGGTTCTCCACAGCACTGTAGAAACTATTGCAATTCAATTTAAGAATCTTCAAAATGTCTCTAATCCTGTAGCTTTGCGTGTGTCACAGAGAGGCTATGTAAATTTTAAAATGGAACCCACTGACTTTTAATCCCATGAGGCCCTTAAAAGCCACTGCTCTCCATGCAGGTTGTATGCTGGCTAGGACGTGTTTGTCCACACTGAAAGCAGATACCACTTAACGCACCCTACTGTTGTGTGTGTTAAGGCCAGGTTGTTGACGAAGGCGGCTCAGCTGAATAAGAAATACGAAGTTGTGGACGTTTAAGTACATCTGAGTTCTAGGAAACCAGCCTTCACAGCTGCTGAATGTGCGTATTAAGAAGCTTTTATTTACTGATGCTGTTTTTGTCATCCTCAGTCAGGGACTGGTTGCCCATTAACTGGCAGAAGAGTGAATAGCAGTCAGAATGAGAAGAAGCACTGGTAAACCAGTCCTGTTATCAGGTCTTGCTGTGATTCAGAAATGTGCTCGCTTTTTTGCTGTTTGTGGGTGTTCTGTTATTTATACCACATATGACTAACACTGACTATTATTCTTTGCTTTAGCCTTCAGATGATTGGGCCTTGAAGGCTTTCATGACAATTGCTTTTTTTCTTTTTTTACTGTATGCCTTAATGTTGCCACATCTGGGAGATACTTTTTTGCCATTTCCTGTGCTTGCTTAATGCAGTTGAGTTGATGTCCTGAAAGACCAGAACATCACCCCTGTTGAACTAGAACA